AATACCGAAGTCAACAGAAACCCGAATTTACCGAAGTCTCTCCCAAAACTTACTAAAGATTGAGCTAAATCTTGCTGTTACTCAATTGATTTTGTGTTTCAGTCCGCCTAATCATTAGTTGGGTAACAGCACGCTGCAGTACTGGCCTAAATCAAGCTGTTACTAGGGTTAGAGGTCAGGTTCAATTTCTGAGTTGTTTGACATTCTGGATATCAAAGTCACCTGGTTGATGTGATCTATATGCACGACTGGAGATCTTCATTTGGGCAAATCTTGTAGTACTATCCCATGAACTCTGCGGCTCTCTATATAGTAGTGATAAAAGCCAAACCAAGTAATTACATCTAGATTATAGTTCATTAGACCGTTGGTAAGGTAGTGATGACGTTCGCTATAACTGCGATGTACCCTTTATCCAAATTTAACAGTACCAGGATTGCTAAGATACCTTCTCCGTATAATAGGGATGTCAGAGTTTAGGATGTCATACCTTAGATGGCACAACCTAGGGGATGTTCTCTAGTACCTGGGGAACCTGAAACAATGGGACCTTAGGTTAAGAGTGATCGGCAGCATACAGGGAGATATAATTAGTATTGGCCAGTTTTGCAAATTCATTTATTAAAATACTAACATAAAAACTTTAATTTTTTTTTTATTTAATCAAATTACAGGTTAATATTTAGTTGGACCTCATTAGCTGCAAGAACAGCTTGAACCTGACGTGGCATTGACTTAATCAAATTGTGGTAATAATTTATGGGTACCGCATCTCATTCATCTTTAACCCATATTTCCAATTGCGTAACACTTGACGGCTGTGAAGTTTGTTTGCAGATCTTAACCTCAATATAAGACCAAAGATTCTCTATTGGATTAATATCAGGACTTTGAGCCAGCCAGGGAAGTACCTCAACTTTTGAGAATATAAGAAAAGAACGGGTGACCTTCGCGGTATGAACAGGTGCGTTATCTTCTTGAAAAAGAAATTTTTTTGGTTTTTTTTGCATGAGATTAACTGTAGAAATTGCATAATTAACCAAAATTTCCTTGTGTGAAATTCCAGTAACGCGACCAACCAAGGGAACCAAAGGACCCAAACCAACCCAGGAAAAACATCCCCAAAACATGCGACCAAAGCTTTTTTGAACTGTAGCAGCAATGCAGTCTTTATGGAACTCTTCAGATGGTTTATGCCATACACGTCCAAAACCTGAAGTCCTAAATTGTGTATAGATAGACTCGTCTGACCAGATGATTTTTTTAAAATCCTCTACTGTCCAATTTTCATAAGTACGAGCCCACAAATACCGTTTTTCTTTATTACTATCAGAAATTAATGGACTGAGATGGGGAATGGGTGAATGGAGACTTTTTTTAGCTAATTATTTACGAATAGTTTGTGTAGAAACTGTTTTATGTGTTTTATTTATATAATTTAAATGTATTTGAGAGAGGTTTGACGACGGGTTTTTTGTTTCTAAGAATAGAACGCTTTAAACATTTGCGTTCGAAGTCATTAAAATCCTTGGTCGACCTGTTCTTTTCTTTGGAAGGCTTTTTAGCTCATACAAATTCTACACACGTCATACTGAAGAACGAGAGCAACCAATAACTGTGAAAATCCTGCTATTAGAATGGCCTAACTTCTTTATTGCAATAATTTCTCCTTTTTGACTTTAGGTAAGTTCTTTTCCAAGACACATTATTGCGACAATTTTTTTTCACTATATAAATTTGTGGCTTTGATTTGTGTGCCCAAGTGACCCCTTTTATGTCTTACAATATTAATTATTTATGTTATTTTTAAAAATACAAATCATGTGTAACTAAAAACAATAAATATAGCTTGATTTAGTAAGGGTAAAATGTCACGCATTTCTTTTTTATTAAGTTTAATTGGATGGCTAATATTAATTATACCCCCCTGTACGTCTTAGCGACACCTGATTTCCTTCACAAGGGTCAGGCTTGCAGAAAGCAATCATTCCATCCTGAGTCATCTAAAAAAAAAAATGTGATCCGTTAGAAATGCAACACATATCATTTTGATGAGCGTATTTCAGCGAACATAATAGTGTAGATTTCACGAAATTCAGATTGTTAGATCTCAAGATAATGGCCTTCGAATCCAAAAATCAATTTTTCAACATATTTTCTTGAATATCTCTGCGTTCAGTGATCCATTAGAAATGTAACACATATCGTTTTGATGAGCGCATCTCGGCGAATACGATGGTGTAGATTTTATGAAATTCTAATCGGTAGATCATTAGATAATAGCCTCTGAAACATTAATATAATTTTATTATTTTATTATTTTATATTAAGCAAATATATTTTGGAGTTTTTATTTGACTTGAGTTGAGTCGAGTCAAATTTAAGTATAACTTGAGTCGAGTCAAGTTAGAGTTTTAAAATTTTTTGACTCAGCTCGACTCAACTCAAATTTTTTGAGTTGAGTCGAGTTATCTTTAAAACTCGACTCGACTTGACTCATTAGAAGCTCTAGTTTTAATGATCTTTTCAATAATTTGTCTTTACATGATCCAGTTTTCTTTTGCAATGTTAACTTATTGAAATCAGAAATACAAATTTTCTTAAGAGGCTTTGATTTTTTGTCATCTGAATCAGACAATAATAAATTATGTATGATCTTTGGACTCTGACCCTTTTTTGAAATATATAAAAATTAATTTTTGTTTCTCATTGATTTATTTCTTTAGCATTACACAATTGAAAATACCTTGTGAAGAGACACTATTTGTCATTTTACTCATTTCAACGTTATCTTCTGAGTCTGAGTCAAATTATAATCATAAATTGGTATAGGATTAGATATTGAGTCATATGCATGTATACAATTGAGAAACCAGTGAACACACCTTGTGAAAAAACACTATCCGTCATTTTACTCTCTTCGATGTTATCCTATGAGTCTGAGTTGAAATATAATTATAAATTAGTATAGGATTAGATATAAAGTTATGTGTATGATCTTTTATTGCTTTATCAAGCTCATTAACATTACCATAAGAATCTTCACGATTTCTAGAGTAAAGGTAAGTAGAAGCCATCTTTTTTTGAGCATATTTCCTTTCACGCTTATCATTATTGACAATTGATTGATTTGTCCTTCTATGCTTTTCACTTTTAACAGTCGATTGATTCGTCCTTTCACGCTTCTCACTTTTAACAGTCGATTGATTCGGATTTTCACATTTCTCATCTTTAACAGTCGATTGGTTTGTCCTTTCACACTTCTCACCATTGACTGGACCTATAATATTGAAAGTATAATAATGATATATATTAATATTCTATTCATTGATATAAGACATTTATATACTTTAAAAATTGACTTTAGTTTTAAAATCACCTTTCTTATCTTGGCGATAAGCATTTTCTCCTATAAAATATAATCAATTAAATAAAATATATTAAAAGACTTGATATCATTAAAATTATCATGTATAATACTTACGATTAATATTTATTTTGTGACGCATGAAATACATTAAGGCCCAATCACCAATACATTCAGGAAAGTGGGGATTAGCTTTCTTAAACTTGCAAATAATTCCAGCTCTAATATTTTTATTAAGGTTTTTATATTGAATTCCAACGGGAGTATGACATTTGATGAGTCCATAAAAGGCAGTCTGGATTAGAAAAGCTCGATTAAAGGTTAGTTAAACTTGATATTATAATTTGATAATATTCACCCTGTAACTCTCATATATATTCTTCTTCAAATTTAATTTTAAATGCAAATTCGCAAATCTGCTTGATTTTTCAGATGGTTTCAGGATCGGCAGAGTAACAGATGAATTATTATGATCTTTATTAATGGTATTAGACTCATAATTCTTAAAAAATTAAAATTATCAATGTTGAATTATACTATGTCTTATTTAAAGCAATTGTGCTATTCATTTTTTACCCTCGCATCATTTGACTCTTGTTCAAAACTTGACTATTTTTAGCTAGAGTCTTAACGTCTTTTTCCTTTTCTTTATTATAATTAGACTTCAACATTTTTGAAGTTGCTATTTTACTTCTCGAAACTAATACTTTCTTTTTTGCCTCATCTTTTAATGCCTTGTTTTCATTTTCCAAGGCAGTAATGCGAGCTAGAATCAATGCCAAGATTTTTTCATTCACTCCTATTTGTATATCACTATTATCATTAGATTTTTTAAGTCTGAAGTCGTAGTTACGTTTGTCGACAAACTTTTAGAAGACTGAACTATATTCTTTGGTAGAACTTTCAGGTTTATGGGTAATAGAATTAGAACTTTTTCTATGTTTTGTCATGTTTATAATTTTTGTCAATGAATTTAAAAAGTTTAAAAATTGAAAGGTGGTTTATAAATAATAAACATTCAAGTTTATTTTAACTCTTTTTGGTTAAAGTTAATTTGTATTACAAATAAAATCTATTTCCAGTTAAAACTTAATTGTTAATTATGTCAATCATATTTTTCAAAATCAATGATGTTGATCATGTAACTAGCTATTTAAATTAAACAATGTGAATTTATTTGTTTAAAGTGATTTTTTTAAATAAAAAAATATTTTTACTAAAATTTACAATTATAATAAAGTTACATAAAATAATTTAATCAGATTAATATATTTTTATTGAATATTTCTTTTTTTCAATATGGATAAATCCAATAAAGTTTTTTGTACCTGTTCAAAATGTCATCACAAAGATACAGAGAGAGGGATTGAATTGTTTATTCCAAAGTCTACTAAACTAGACATCATAAACGAGACAATGAAAATCTATCAGTCATAGATTCTATTTCTAGTTCCAGTTCTAAAACAGCTTCGATTTTAAGTCTTTCAGATGTTTTTACTAATTCTAGAAGCGAATCATCTGTCCTTGTTGAGTTACTCAGATCATCATTTTCTGATAATATGATTTCTACGTATGCTTTGTTATAAGGTTATTGCTTACATTCTCATGTTTACTAATAATAATATACATTTAAAGATCTAAAGGGAAGGCATCTTTGAGTTTACCCGATAGGGCAGAAAACTTGTTCATTGACAAAAGTTACATCGATGAAATATTGATTATACAAGATATGGATGAGAGTCGCAAATGTTTCGAAGAGTCTCATATAGATTATAAATCATCATCAAGTGGAACATCTTCAAATGGAACCAATGGATTTTCTGACTCAGATGTATCTCATACTGAAATTTCAGATATAAAATACAATGATTATATATAATTAATATATTTGAAACATTATTTAAATATTTTTATTAATTTAGATCCCGGAGAATATATATACTTATCTGATGAATTGGCTTGTGCTCTAAGGTTATTCTGGGTCAAGTCTTGTTGTAATTTGATGCACAGGTCGAACGCTGATAAATTGGGTACCTTTCCAATTGGTCACTATTTTTTGATTAGCAATCAATAGATAGAAATCGGTAGATACTACAATCGGATATGAATTGGTTAATACCATAATCATAATTATTAGGTAGAATTACATAAATCGGATTCTAATCTGATTTTATACTTATTTATTAAATTTATAACTACAGTCAAACCTCTATGTAACGATACAGCTGTTTTGAGAAAAAAATATTGGTATATCAAGTTATCAGTATATTAAGAAATTTTATATACCGATATTACTATAATTTGTTGATCAATATCAGTATAAAATAATAAGCCAATCAGA